GAGGAAGACATCAGAGTAGAGCTTTACAGGACAATTCTGAAGGATTGTGGCAGTGTGGTTATCTCAGGGCCTTCTCAGGGGAGATTATCCAGAAAGCAATCGTAAACAAATACATACACCCAAAATTGATGCATAGGAAACGGCTCCCACACCAAGCATGATTTGCTTTTGGTGAAGCGAGTTCTCCTAAGGACAGAAGAAACATGACTACATAAGTACACTTGTAAATCACTTTCAAAATGGTCCTGTACATTGAAAGTGATCCCCAGAATAAAAATAAATACGTACTTCATCCTTAGTGGTACAATTTCCATTTAATAGGGTAAATCCTGTGGTGTATACATGAAATGCAAACTGCAGAAAGGAGAGATTATAAGCAAAAATGAATTTGGAACAGAAACGAGAAGACTTGTAGATGTAGAAAGAGGCAGTTACCTGACAAAGAAAAATTTGTTTTGCCTTCAGCTGAAGTGATGAAGAAATGACCTAAGAGAAAAACCCCACAGGAAAATTAGTTTGATGAATCTAGGAGTTGTTGGTGAGCAGTGGTTGCCTACAGCACGAAGTGTGACTGGTCGTGGCAGTGCCAAAGGCTCTAGTGAGTGCCAGAAGCCATTTACCTTGATTTTAGGCTAACATACTTTCTTGAAACAGATGTGATATATTCACTTTGTCTACCCAACATAACACATAGACACACAGAGTGATTAAAATAGCGTGCAAAGAAATTGAGCAAGATGCTTTCCTACTCAAAATAAAAATTGTATTTGTGCCTGTGCAGTTTAGATAGAATAAGTTACATACTACAGATGTAATTAAAGAAGTGAAGGAGTTAGGGACTGACAGGTTTTATTTATGTAAATACTAGATGTAACTGACCTCATATTAACATTTTAGTAGTTACTTCCCAACTCCTTCTCCAAATCAGACAGTAAATAAGAACATCAGACCTTCCTTGTGGTCTCACCAAGCTATCAGTGAGAAGTATCCTCAAAGAAAACACAGCTGAAAAGCCTAAATCTTCCCATTCCCTTCCTCAAGGTCTTAGCTCTGGAAAATGTAAGCCAAGTGGTGCAGCCATACTTCTCATTGTTACTTACCAATGGAAGAGTTACAGGCAGGAAAGCTAAAAAGAAAGAAACCTTATTTTAGTAACAGTAACTACTGTGAGTCTAGATTGATGTGTTTTTTGTTTTTTTTTAAACAGAAATTTTCCCAGCCTCTTCCCCTCTTTAATTTCAGCTGTCAATAAAATACTTGTTCACCAAATAAATTTAAAAAACAATAACCTTTTTCTCTAATTTCTCATTCAAAAAACCAAAGCATCTGGTCTTGGCTTATAGCCAAAAAGGAGTCTCCATGAACCCCAATCACAACAGCCACTTGGAAACTGTATGACCAACAAACTGTATGACTACTCAAAGAGACAAGTGGCAACAAGGGCTGCCACAGCCATGAGTGCTTATAGAAGAATGTTTATTTTCAAGCAGACTGTAGGAACAAATAAGTCTTCAAAAGATAAGAGTGCAACTAACAGGAGTAATAGCCCACTTGGCTCCCATACAGAGAAAAGCACTACTGTGTGGTACTGCATGGGATATTTACTATCTGCCATTCCCCACTGATGCTTCAGTTACATGCTTCTCTAAAGGAAGCTCACCTGGAGGTCTGAAGAAAACAGGAATTATCTTGCCTGTATCAGGATGTACACTGGCCTTAGAAGAAAAAAAAAAGATTAGACCACCTGTTCCATACTTAAATAAGAAAGAAAATTGATTTCTAAATCATTTGGAAACTTACCAGGCTCAGCAGGAAGGCTTGTTTTGTCTAAATAATTTGAGAATCAGGTTAGTAATAAAGCTTTCAAAAAGCATGACTGAAATCTTGTTTCAAAATTTACTACATCACCTTCTTCTGATAACTCACTTTTATGCAGTGTTGTGTGTTTGCATTCCTTTAATTTTTTCCCTAAAATTTCTCCCCACATACTTTGTTGAATATAATTTAGTCACATCTCATACACTATTAACACTACACACATACTATAACAGAATAGCAAGTAAATTTTAAATAAGCCAGTAGGCATTTAGAACAGAAAATAACAACACTTAAATATGGCTAAAAGCCTAAAGACTTATTGTTAAGACGTTGGCTTTTCTGCAATCACAGAATATTTCAGTTCTCCTTTCAGGCTCTGCCACACACAGTACAAGATGCCATATGGGTACAGCAAGTCCCCATTGAAACAAAAGCAAGACTCTTCTAATGCAGCAACTTCAGCACTTCCTTCCAACAACTCCATGAGAAGGTTTCCCCCCCAAGTACTGCTACTGTTCATTTCATGAGAGGTGAAACCAAACCAACCTGCACTCTGTACGATGATGCAACACCAAAGACTCAAAATGTGCTCTCTAAGTATTTTGCATATTCTTCAGAATGATTACACTGAAGTTTGGCAATGGTCATCCAAAGAAATTCCTTCCAATTCTAAAAGTGTTTCTGTTGTAAAGAGTTTTTCTTGTGTTATCTCTTGTTATTGAATCTCAGCATTCTGTCTGATCTTACACTAACATCAATTATTTCAACCATGAAAAAAAGACATCTCTATTTTCTATCAGCTGTGCTCCAAAATACCTGATGATTCCATATGGGCTCACTTTGGGTCTTTTCGCTGTTTTCTAATAATAACCGGGCTCTTCTTATTTCATTCTGTATTAGAGAAAAAAAAGAAAACAAACAAAAAAATAATTCAAATTTCAATAGTCTGAAGTACAACATATCAGCTGTGATACTATAAACACAAACCTGTAACATCAAGCCATCCCTCACAAGAGTAATGAAAGCAATAATGAAGCATGCTAGCAAACTCCACTGCCAACTCTTAAATGAAGTCTGAGAAGGGGTGGATCCTGGCTTCAGCCCTTCCAGTCATTCAACTGCATTGAATGCACCTGAGCTCCCCTGGGCTGGCCCTGCCTTCCACCAGGTGCTCAATCACTGCTTCAAGCTGTGACTTAGCATTTCTGCTACAGCTGTCTACACAGAAAGTCTTTTAGGAGGCTTTATGAGATGATTGGACTTTCCTTCAGCAGGCATATCTCTGTGTGTAACTGTGTATCCTAACGCAAGGAGGTGTGAGCTAATCTCAGCCCTCCAAATTCCTAAATGTACCACCAAAGTTTACTTTGGTGTTCATGTATTTAGCATACAAGTATTAAATTAAATTTCCTCTGTCATCTCTAACACAGGTGGAACTACAGAAGGACGCTGTTCCTGCTACCCAACCTGAACCTCCCCTGGCACATCATCTCTCATCTTATTGCTGTTAGCTGGGAGCAGAGGCAGAGCCCTGCCTCACCACAACCTCCTTGTAGGGAAACGTAGAGTGCAATGAGATCTCCTCTTCTCCAGATCAAACCACTCCAATTCCCTCATCCGCTCCCCATAAGATCTGAGTTCCAGATCCTCCCAGCTCTGTTGCCCATCTCCAAGCATCCTGCAGGGTCCTGATGTCTTTGTCGTAGTGAGGGGCCCAGAACTGAGCGCAGCGCTGAGCTGCAGCCCCACCAGTGCCAGTACAGAGGAATGGTCACCTCCTGCTCCTGGCTGCACTACTGCTGGCTCTGGGGAGGACGCTGCTGGTCTCCTCGGCCAACCGGGCACACATTCAGCCGAGCATCAACCAACACCCCCAGATCCTTTCCACAGCACAGCTTCCCAGTCGCTGTAACCCCAACCTGCAGCGATGCACGTGACCGAAGCGCAGGACCAGGCGCTCGGTCTCGGAGACGAGCCGCACACGGGCAGAATTCCCTTCGGAAGGACACGTGAAGGAGCATCAGAGCGCTCTGCAGCGCAGCACCGCGCAAACCCGACAGAACGGCACCGCAGTACTCACCGGGGACTTCAGGAGGTGCAGGGGGTCTAAGACATCCGCCCAGAGAAGCAGCCTCTGCCAAAAAGACTGCAGGAGACACGCTTTAGGGTGACGCCGTCAAGGGCGCGGTGCGGTTCCGAGGAGCCCCGCGGCCGTTCCCTCCCTCCCGCCCTGTCCCGTCCCGCGCCCCGCGGCTCGCCCTGCTGCCGCCCGCCGCCTCACCGAGCCCTCAGCCCTCCCGAGCCGCAAGTTGGCGTCCATGGGGCCGCGGCACCGGAAGGCGATGCCGGGGGACGGTCCGCCCGCTGCACGCTCCGCCCGGGCCCGGCCCCGCTGCGGGGATCCGAGGTGCGGCGGGAGCGGCTGCTGCTCCGGGCTGATCGCCGTCCTTCTGAGCGAGCGGGAGCGCGGGGTAAAGCGGCCGGGCTGCCCACGTGTGTGCGGGATGTTAAAAGGAAGCAAGCTGAGGGAAGGGAACGGTACAGCCTGGTGAAGGATGGTGCGCCAGCCGTGGGAGTTCACGTACAGCTGCCATCAAAAGCACTGCCGGGTTGCTCTGTGTTAGCGAGCTGTGCAGAGGCTCAGCTTCACATACGGTAGGTGCAGGAGATGAGTTTTATTGAAAAACGGTAGGGATACCTGGGGGCTTATAACAAACAACTAAAATGCTGGTGCTGCAAAGGTATTTGCAAGTAGTGAGACTTGCAAACGTGGCCTTTACCCTCTGTGTCAGCAGGCACCATGAGGTGCCAGGCATGTTTTTCCTTCCTTTCACCTACACTGCAACACTGACTCTATTAGAGGGCTGATGTTGGAAGTGGCACCTCTGCCAGCTGGTTCCCTTATGCTCATCTTCTGCCCACCACTCAAAGGGGAGATAAAGGGGAGATGTTGAGAAACCTGTTAAGAATCGTTTCAGTTCCTCCAGTCTGTCAGCAGCACACCAGCCTTTCCCTCACAGCACTTGTCACCACTGCTCTGGCTGTGTCCCTCTCCCCCCACCCATGAAGCCAGCACAGCTGGCTGCTGCAAATAAAGGCACAAAACACAATGCCAGGCTATTCAGAAGAGAGAGATGATGATGTGGAAGAGAAGCAGAAAGCAAGCAAAGCAAGACAGCTGCTGCAAGTCAGTACTAGGATTTATTGACCACAGGCACAGGTATACTATAATCCTTTAAATGGTACAATTTACAATCAACCTTTACATTTCTGGAGGCAGATTCAAGCAGACAAACAAGGCTTTAAATGAAGGAAGATCGTTATCAAGCTCCGCTAAGCACAGTAGTGGAGTGCAAATTTTTAATTATCTCCTAAACAGAATGCAAGCTCATAATACCTGTTAATGCTCCTGTGTAGCTGCACTATATTTTTACATTTTGTATCTGACAAGATTTTATTTGTACATACATTGATCTTATACTGTGGACAGAAACTTGTGCGTGTTACATTCATTTCATCCTCTGAAAAAAAAATACTTAAAAAGAACTCTGTGTCAAAACTGTTTTCTGTATTGTCCACTTGCACAGTTTCCAACTCTTGTTACAGAAAGGCATCCGTATGTGAGAAAAGCTAACTGGGAGTTTTCTTTTTCCCAAAGCTAGTTAAGCAAAGGGGGAAAATAATCTAAAAAAACACAAAAAAAACACGGAAGGTAACTGTTTTTCATCCACTTGTCACATTCTGGTTACAGGCATACATAAAACTTAACTTGCTGAAGGGGAAAATAAAGCCTTATTTTTACAAAAAAAAAAAAGGGCAAGAGAGTCAATAAGTATTTCAGCATTTAATTATTATTTTAAAGCATGAGGAAATGAGAACCTTTTTTCTTCCATAATCACAGCCACTTAACATCTTCAGCATACAGTAACAAAGTTTCATCTGCATTTGAGTGTTTATGTGTGCACTTTCTCAAAATATTCTTTAGAAGCCTCTGGACTTGGTTTGATCTGTCAAGAAGAAAAAAGTAGTTATTGTATGGTGTAACTGCAATATAAAAGTTATGGATTTGACATTTTATCCCAGAAACAAATATTTTATTAAAAAAACATTAAGTTATTTCTGTTTCTGCACTTGGTTGGAAGATGTATGAGCCCCTACTTGCCAATTTGAAGTATATGTAACATGCTGTTCCTGCTAGATATCAAGCAAGATGTGAAGCAAGTAAAAATCCATAGACAACTGCTGGAAAGTACAAACATTTGAAATACAAACTGTTCTCTAAAAGAAAGTGTGATTTCTGTGAAGAAAGTCACTGACATTTAATGTCATACAAATAGACTGAATTGGTCTGAAAGCCTCAGGCTTAGAAAAATAGGAAGAGATTCATTCAAGCAGTTCATATTAAAGCAGTTCTTATCCCTTGGGACACGCAAGAACGTGCCAGTGTCTATATTTAGAAAAGTGATATTTAGCAGGCACTTACTGTAGGGGAATCTGGAGTCCAGTTTGCTGGGCAAACCTCCCCATGTGTTTCCACATACTGGAATGCTTTCACCAAGCGAAGGGTCTCTTCCACACTGCGACCGACAGGGAGATCATTGATGCTCAGATGCTTGATGACCCCATTTGGATCAATGATGAAGAGACCTCTGCAGTTGAGTGAAAATTTCAGGAATGCAAATCATATTTAAAGATCAAAACCAAGAAACAGATGAACAATTTCAGCATGGTAGTTAGATGCACACATCAGGGTTTAGGAGCAGCAATACTGCATTTGACATATTGTTAATAATCAAAAGCTAAGAGCCTATAAACTGATATGGTGTTGTGAAATTATGCAGTACACATCAAGACTATTAAGACAGCAAGATGTATAAGATAGAACTTTTAATTCATTCTGTATTTCAAAACTGATAGCTAGAATCCTTCCTGTATCTTTTTTATATGAAAATCCAGAGGTACTGAATGAAGAGCTGCTCATTAAGTTAATTTCTGTTATATATAAGCCATTGTGGAAAGAAAATAACAAATTAATTAGTAGGGTGAGATTTGGAAACAAGTGTCTGAAGTTCTTTTTCCAGCAAAGAAGCTTCTGTTTTGAAGTGAAAAATACAGCACAGATTAGGGCAACCCAGAACAGCACTGAATCAGAATATTAAGCAGCTTTCTGTGGACTTCTGTCACTCTTTCATTGGAAAGAAACCAAATGAAACACTTCCTTCCACACCTCCATGCACAGAAAAGCTTGCACCTGAACACTAAGAATGCGGGATTACTTTGGGGATTACAGCCAGCATAAACCTTCTAATGAAAAGAGATAAGAATCTGGATGCCCCTAATAGACTCCTAGGCAATTGTTTATTTTTAAGGACCATCATTTGCTCGTAGTATTTCCATGGAGTAAAAGAGCATCAACGATAACTAGTCTTGACTGTAGTGGCCTCTAGGACTACAGCTCTTTAAGCTTCTCACTCACAAATTAAGGCACTCTCTCTTCCCCTTTCAGGAAAAGAGAAAAAAATAAAAATAATGAAAGGCATAGAAATTGAAAAATACTCTTTATCCAACTCTCCTTTTCCTTCCTCAGAACAGGCTAGCTATTCTCTGCATGTATCCTCAGTGAAGTCTGGAAAATTCTCAACTTTGCCATAATAGACACGTGCCCTTTTCTTGGGATGAGACTCATCAGCAAGGCCATAGAAGTTCCACCTTTCAGTGTTCACATGATCCGTGTACAGTTTCCCTTGGAGAAAACCGAATCAGCAGCAGTCATTCATTACCTTAGTGCAATGCCAGGTCCTTCTAGCAGAACACCATAATCACGGGAGATTTGTTTTGTGAGGTCTGACAGAACTGGAATATTCATTTTGCCCAAGCCGCCATTCTACAGAAAAGAGCAAGATTCCATTTTGTTAACCTAGTGCTGTTTAGGATTAACCCTGAGACTGGATTCAGAGCTCTTAAAGGTACATTAGCAACAAAATACCATGAAGTTCACCTGGAGTGGTTCTTGGGTTTTTGTTTGTTTTGCTCCAAAAAACACTCAAACAGTTGTTGTGTTGGGAACATGAAAACTTGTCTAGCACTGAGAATTTTAGAATTGCTTATTTTGCTGGCAAAAGGTAGCAGTGACAACAGTTGTATTTCCATGAAGATCTCTTTTGTACCTCATGTAGGAGCTTGGAATATAAAAATTCCTATTACATATTTAAGTGATCAAAATTAAACAAGATTAAATGTGGGGAGGAGGGGAGAGAAACCTGTATAATATACAGATGAAACACAAGGCTTCTCACAAACATACTAGGTATGTCAGAGTTCTGCTGCTTTCTGTATGCAGCGCATGCAATTTCCCTCAAAGTTTAAAAACTATTTGGAGAGTCAACCAAGATTGCTTTGATTTTTACAACACACTGGAACAGCAAGAGAGATAAGCTATCCTTGAAATGGGACTGGCATTTGTTAGCTTTTCTACTCCAGCCACAGTGAATCATTGTGTAATCTGTCACTTAGACCCTGACCTTGCAAATTCTTGCCTGCAACAGAGTTCTAATATGCAGGGGAATGTCAAAAGAACCTAAGCTTTAACTCCTCTGGGTGTCAGTTTCTCCATCTGCACCATTATGGAATTTCTTACACCCTGCAGAATGTTTTGCTATGCATGCATGAAACAAGGCATGAGCAGTGCATGCTGAACAACTTCCCCATAAAGCAATGAAGGCAGTTTGTAATCACATTTCAGAACATCAGCAAAACACAGCAGAAGATAAGTACTCCTGATCAGTTCAGCCAAACCACATTAAATTAAGCAAACTTTCTTCATTCCTATGTTATCAAGGAAAAGCCAAGTACATGGAGGCAGACCAGTTCAACTGTGATAAGCACTTCTATGGGCTGCTGTCCCCATTGCCACACATGTAGAAAGTGATTACACCTCACCCTCCTGTGGCACTTCTAACTGTCTACAACTAACCTAGGTACTGAGATGCTTTATGTTATCAAAAGCATGCAATTTTATATGCACAAACGAAAGAATTCTCTTGGGAAAAAAACCATCATCTTCATCATGTTCTTACCCAGAAGAAACCAAAATACCTCAGTGATGCATGTTACAGAAGCAAATCTCATTTGCTGAAAAAAATTCAATATTACCAATGCTCCATTACACTGGTTGTTGTTAACTAGTACCTAACAGTTGCAGCTTCAGAATGGAAGCAGAACAACTGCTTTCATTTTCTGTAACATCCCTCACAAACCATCAGCTGTGACAAGCAGCTTAGGACACTGACACAGGTACTTAATGCCTGTCTCTGAAGATAAACATAAAATATATGATGTAACCTACAGGACAAAAGAGAGCAAAATTAAGAGAACAAACCCCATTAAACAAATTACAGACGAAGAGATCAACAACAGAAAGACTTAAAAGAAGAGCTTAAGTCCTGTCTAAGACAGAAACTACTTAACATATCACTACAGATGGTTTATTTATCCTAATCAATGTTTGCAGAATTGCTTATTCTTCTCAAGAGCTCCTGTGGAAAGAAAACAAACCAAGGAGGAAAGCTGCCAGGAGCTGCTCCATCCATACCTTACGTGGTGTATTTATCCAGGCCAGGTGGCAGAAGTGGGAGTCCACAGAAACCGCCACCACCTCGCAGTTCACATCGTGGAACTCATTCGCTTTGTTACTAAAAGCCACGATTTCTGTGGGGCACACAAAGGTGCTGGGCGGGAAGAGAAAGTGAGCTGTAACGATTCAGCAAGCTTTCGAGACAGGTTTCACAGAAGGCAGTCGCTCGCGTTTCTGTTTCCAGGCACCAGAGCGACAGCATCTTTCGTTTAGCTCAAACTTTGAGCCTATTTGCTGCACTCAAAGCAAAAGTTAGAGGGCAGAGCGGCTTCCCAGCGCTGCTGGCACAGAGCCACTTCGGCACGGCACCCACGGTTAAACCCTCCCAAGCCCAGCAGAATCACCCGCGGCGCTCCGCCAGGACAGCCCGCCTGACAGGGCTACACCCGCACTCACAAATCCAGAGGGTAGAAGAAAAGCACGAGGTATTTCCCCTTGAAATCGTCCAGGGTCAGTTCCTTGAACTCCCCATTGACGACGGCCGTGCCTTTAAAGAACGGGGCGTGCTGCGTGACGGCCGGGGCGAGCCGCGAGGCGCCTGCGGGGACACGTAACGCATTGCGGGCCGCCGCCTCCGCGCTGCAACCCCGGGGCACAGCGCGGCGGGGCCGCCCCGCGCTTACCCAGCGTGAGCCGGCGGCGGGCGCACAGCAGCGGCTGCGCCGTCAGCGTCCTCCCGGCGGCGGGCACCTGCGGGGACGCGAGGGTCAGGGCCGGCGGGAGCCGCGCGCTCGTTCCCGCCTTCCCGCCCTCACTCACCGCGCGCCGCAGCAGCCCCCTCAGCGCGGCCGCCATCTTGAGCGCGGCGTAGCAGGAGGGGCCGGGCGGCGGGCAGGGGACGCGAGGGACAGGAGGAGGGGCGAGGGCGGTGCTAGGCTCCGAGCCGCCCCCAGGCGGCAGGAATCGCCCTCGGCTGGTGCCGTGTCGCGGGGCAGGAGGAACGGAGGTGGTTCCCTCAGTGGCTGGCGGAGTTCTGGTATGCGCCAAAGCAGAGAAAGAAAACGTGCCTCGCGGTGCTGGACCTCGGAAAGCACACAAATACGACATTTTTAAATGCAGTAGGCTCTTACTGTACTGAGTTCATGGTCACGTTATTGCCTTTCAGTCAGAAAACCCAAATGCTGACCAATATTTAGCAGATGGCAGAAGCACAGAGAGGTGTGAAGGTTGTGGGAGGGACCACACCTGACTCAGGTAAAGCTTCCAGCCAACCTGCTGCTTTAGTATTGGCATTTATAAATATCCATGGCCTTTTACCAAGGGGAGATGTCCCCAGCTGCTTATGGCTTCTCACTAGTTCACAGGGTGACAAGGCCAAAGTGACCAACGTGACATGAGAAAGCTCCTGGAAGCTGTGCAGATGCTGTGGCTCTGATGAAAGTAACTTATTTCTGGGACTGATCCAGCTCAAGTGGTCTGGTGGCCACTGTCAGCTCTCTGAGCCTTCAGAAGAGGAAAGTTGCACACAGCTTGCTCGTCCTGACTAGCCAGAATCAGCTAACATGCCCAGGAGCTGTATGGGACAGTTGACATTGCCCAGAAGCATGTCAGGGACCTTCCTGAACATTTAACACCATGGATAGACCAGTTTTGGTTACTGGTACCTTTCTGTAGCACTCTTGAGTTTATTAATACAGATAAAGGCAATAACTGCCAGAAATATAGCTCTGATAATCTTCTCAAGAACTGCCAAGGAGAGCAACCAAAATAATATCTACTAATACGTGCACAGAGATACTGGGTGAAGATGGCAGTATTCAAAAGGAGACGAAGATGAAAACGTTCTGCATGATACCAGGGAAGATGAACTGTTCCTATAGCCATTCTGAAACGAGAAAGAAAAGGAAAATGTGGATTCTTAAGGATACAGATACTCCAGGGTTAACCACCACAGTAGTCTAACAGCTTCCTGCATCCACTGATTTCCTTGAATTCAAACACACATCACTATTGCTTTTGATGTGCAGCTGTTCCCTTCAGGCTTAAGATCTTCTAACAGAGCTCTGCACGTGCATTTGAGAATGTGGGCATAGGTATGTGCTGATTTTGTCACTAAAACAGCAGTTTCTGAGTTGAAAAACCTCAGATGCCCCTTTCTTCTCCTTAGCATTTTCCAGATATGTTTGAGATAGAAGCTCAGTTTTTATGAGCAAAGACTGCCTGGAAGCACTCACTATCTGGACAGAACTCTGATGAGAACATCACTGGCTGCACAAGGGGAGCTAGCTGACTGAGCTACTCAACATATTTGAGTACCTCTTACCTAAAAGTAGGTAAGAGGGATGTTCTTTCTGAAAAAAATGTCTCAAAGCCTAGAAGTAGAAGCAAGTACACTATTTATCCGAAAAATATATCAGATAAACTATGGGTGAGCTGTGTTGTAGCCTGTAGCCTTTAGAGCATCCACAAAGCACAGCAGATGAAGAGAGCAAAAGCAGTTGTTGAGAATTATATCTGCTGTAGAGTTTAAGGAGGTTTTAGAGCCACTGCTAAGATACCACAAGGGCTATCAGCAGAGCAGCAAGCAATGGAGCTAGAAAAAGGACATCTACAGTGCAATAACTGATGGCAAAGAGCAGCAAAGAAGTATCAGGCACTTATTGGGCCAAATCCTTAAACAACCATGCAGACTAGCATGCCTGCATTCACTTTACTGTAATGGTACCCCCTTCACATCAAGAGATGAGCTCTCCTGACAGCGACTTCTCTAAGGCTGGGCAGCAAACAACGAGGTAAGGATACAGCTAAGTAGAGGGAAAGGTGGTGGCAGACAACCAATTCTAAATTAGTCAAAAAAGGGTGATAGTCACAACCTTGTTAAAAAAAAAATAAAAATAAAAATTTGCTTACCTGTCCCAAAGACCAGGGTTCACTAAACAGTCCAAAAGAAGAGATCTCTAGATAGAGATAGTTCCTTTATGGCAGTCAGCCCTTAATTAAATGAGGTTAGGGAGGGGTGCAACCTTCTAGTCACACAAGTGAATTGCTTTCACCTGTGATCTCTGCCTCCCTTCACCAGGTGCTCAATCATTGGTACAGGCTGTGACTTAGCAATTCCCGGCCAAAGCAGTTCATTTCCCTCAGCTGCAGGAGCTGCATTGTAGCAGCAAAAATAAGGGACTATTACTAGGATTTCCTGAGGATGGTTGTCTCACTAACAGATGATTATTCACAATTTCTAAGTTGATATATTCTAAAATTGTGTTTTCCCCCTCCCCGGAAAGCTGTATTTGTTTAAAACTCTTTGTTTAAACACTTGGCATGCAGGTGGGGAAATATTGCTCATGCTTTGTTATGAAGGCAGGATAATTAAGTTTCCAAGACTTCTAGGCAACATCTTAACTACTGCCACTTAGCACAAGGGGTTATTTTTCATTTTGTTTTTTACTGGGCATCCCAGTAAAAGGATTTGAAGATGGGCTTTGTTTTTGCCAAAGTGTGCCTGGTAAAAGAATCATTCCTTTTCCTCAGCACCAGTTCTGATGCAGGCTGGAGCAGCTGCTAAACCTGGTTCTTCTTGCCATCTGCAGTTCAGAATAAATTTACCAAGTGGTGTCATATGCACATCTGTCTCAGCACGTTGTTGGTTTTCTGCTTTGCTGTGTCACTGTGCACTTCTAAAATCACAGTGTTATTGAGATTATGTTATTAAAAAAAAAGACCAGGGAAATCACAGGCCCCAGTCTCATTTCATCCTGCAGTGATGGACTGCTGGTTCATACTGGTACAGCCCAAAATCAGCAGAGAATGGACATGTTAGTTTTGAAGGATTCAAATTTTAAAACACAATTCTAACACATCTGAAGTTGGTGAAAGACTTTCCACAGACTTCAGCAGGCTTTAGCAGAGAAATTTATATCATTGCAAGGTGCAGAACAGTAGATAAGGCATTTGAATAGATAATGAAACATGTAAATTGATTTTTTTTTATTATGACACCTGCCTGCCTCTTCTTACTTTATGCCTTTTTCCCTATCTGGGGATAATTAAATTTGCCTTGGTATTAAAAATATATATATAAACTGAAATCTGTTGATAAAAAATACTGGATAATACTCGTATGTTGTTACCATGGTTTTGTGAGGTTAGTTTTTAAAGAGCTTTTTAAATGTTTGTTTTTAACAAAAAGAAGCTTCAGTGGGAAAGTAACTTCTCTCTAAACTTGGTGAATGGGATAAGGAAATCCCTTAACAGATCTCCTGCTTCTGACAACCATGAAATGTCAGATTCTGTGCTGATTATGGGATGTGTACTTCTGCTTGTTTAAAAAATAAAATCTGCTCGTCTTCTAGATGATTATTTTATTCCATATGCTTAAATGTTGTCACAGTCATTTATCTTCTACTTTGAAGAAACAGTTAATTGCAAGAAACAAAACAAAACAAAAAACAAAATTTGGAAATGGAGAGAAACTACAGGGACACAAATATTTTCATGTAAATTAAAGCAAAAAGTAGGGTTTTGAGAAAATGATGCATCACCCCATGGCTGTTGGTAGATGGCAGCCTCTGTCCTTATGCAAAAGGGCTCTGTAAAAGGTCACAGCTGCCCGCAAATGCTCTCATGGGCCTTGTGTCCCCACCTGCTGATACAGCATCTCAGTGGGAGGTGAGAAAAATTGTATTTCAAATGCAATCTAGCTAAGAGGTAATCGTGAGCAAGCTTTACTGCGTTAATTATGTATTGTAACATGGAGTTGGGTGATAGGTTCTGTTAGGGTATGTTTGCAATTGATAAGCATAGGCAAGCCCCTTTTTGACATCTGATTCACATGGGACCTTATCCCGATATGCCCAGAAGGCTGCACTGAGGCCGAGCATTTTTTCTCTGGTGGTAGGAGAGAACTGGGTGTGTTGTGTGTTGCCGCTGTGCTTCTGGCTGGAGCTGAACGAGCCCACCCTGCTGATGACTCATCCGTTAGAGTGGCTCAGAATATCACACTCTGCTTTGCTGCCTTCCTATCTTTATTACGCTGATGCATTTGGGTCTCACACGGCATTGGCATTTCATTTACAAACCTCTCTTCTCCCATAAAAGAAAGATGGCTGCCAGCACTGCTTTAGCCTGGTGTTCAGTACTTAAAAAGTGTTTTTCTCAGCCTTTATTGAATGGCTTCAAATGAAAGGTGTTTTGTTTAAAAGCTGAATAACCACAGTAAGAACTATAGAAAGCACGTTTTTCAATTTAACAGGGTTTTTTTTGTAGCCTCCCTTTTTTCATTTTCTTCAAAAATTGGCTGTTTCTGCATATGACTCAAACTAGATTTTTACCCTTTGCTCCTCACAAATGCTGCATTAGGATCTTTAGCTCTGAAAAGAAGACCTGTGCTTCTTACCTGCCACGCTGTCTTTGAGTCTATTCTTTCATATTTGAGCACCAAAGTTTACAACAGGGGGTAGATTAAGATAAACAGAACAAACTCATAAGTTTCCTGATAATTTTAGTTTATTTTCCTCTCACTCACAGACTGCTCATTAAGCCAGGCATAGCATAGCCTGAATTAAAAGTCTGTGCTGTTGAAGAGAAAATTGATTTAAGTAAGTGTACCTCTTTCTTATTTTCTGTTATTGTTTTTGTGAACCAGGTGTTCAAGATGACACAAGAATGAAGATACAGCTATAAGAAAGTCATAAGGTAAGATTCCAAATGTTACAGTGAGTTTTGAAAATACCGATGTATGGACTTCAGGTCAAGTAGGTCTGTGCAGTGACAATTGATCTGTCAATCCATAGGGAGTGTGAAAGAAACCTGTGCTGAAGCACCGCCTTGTGTTATGTTCAGGCGTTAGAGGCTGAGATAGGAAATAGAGATGCGGGAGGACTGACTGTCTTGCTTTGTTATTCAAAGTAGGCATTGTGATAGTGAATACAACTCCTTTGTGTTCTGGGGCACCAAGGTGTCTCACATGTATTGAAAACAAGTTTTATTTTCTTAAACACTAAAAGAACCATCAAGAAGACCCACTCCATTGTTCTTACTGATAGACCCAAATTTAAAGTTGCTGCCCTCTGTGTAGATGTGTAACTCTGACAAACATGTTTCTGTAGAACTTCAGTCCATTAGCAGAGCTCAGCTTTCCATGTGGCACTCAGCCACATTTAAGTTCAGCGACTGCTTCTCATCTTCTTCAAAGCAAAGTCATCCAGCTTAGTGTCATTAACCACTCAGGCAGCAGCACAACGTTCTGTTTTGTTGCTGTCCCTGCTTCTGAAAGGACTGTGCCTTTGGGTGCCAGAACACAAAGCTAAGAGCTGTGTCAATTCTGAATACCAGGTAGCTGGTGGGACGTCCAAGCACCATATAGACCTTTTGTGACTCTTTTGATAATTCTACTACTTACCCCTTCAGAAACTAAACAAACATTCACAAAATATTCAGGATGACATCAGCACTCTGAAGTCATACTTCTGTTTCATAGGGCAGCACTGCAGATGACTGTGCATAGCACTAAAGCAGAGACATGTAGCTATAGATACTAAATGAAAGAGGAACAGTAGAGCCCTCAGATGTATGTGCTGCTTTTCAAGTGCTTAGCCACCCAAACTTAAAGTCTGCAAGTGCCTCTCTTCACGTGGGACCTATAGAAAAGTTATGCACCAGACCCCGTCAGTGCTCCCTGTGCAGTAATCCCTTCCCACTGAATATCCTGGTTCTGGGATGTGCAAGTACAACATCCCACTGCTATCAGCAGAAGTTAAGCTTGCTGGTACACATGTTAGGAAACGATATGTAAGATGAGTATATTCCTTTTCCCCTTTGGAGACAGGGGTTGCCTGTAACATTAAAAACGTTTTATGAAATAAAAGATGCAGCTTAGTCTTCCAGTGCCAGTCGTACTCTGATGCTGGTGCTGCCCTTTTGATGACCATTAGTGGAAGGCTGCAGTGATGTGAAATGCACTTCTAACCCAAGCATAATTTGCTCTGCTTACAAGTGAGCATCAGCGCTCACACAGAAGTGGTCAAACAACATGCAGGGCAGACACCCTTTAGGAACCTCATCTGTGTGCTCAGGCTCTGGTTTCCAGGAAGCAATTTTTCCCTCAAGAATTATTTAATCAGAGAAAAATCTTCCGGTACTTAGAGACACAACTGCTGTTGTATAGAAATTGGCATTACAGAGGAAGTAGCCACAACACAGCGTGGCTACCAGAGATAGAACATTTTCAGAAGCAAAGTGGAGAGAATGGGGAATGTGGTGCACAGCAGTGTCCTGGCTACAACTGTAGCAAGGTTTCCCACCTATGACACTCACACAAGGCATGAATTGTAGCTATACTGCCTTGACGTCCAAAGTATCATTTATTCAGTGTGTTGACTGTTTATATTGTTATTATATTGTTTATTTGTTATTTGTTTCTGTGTTGATAAAATACATTCAGTAGCAGTTTGCAAGTCCTGCCATTGCAGGTCACGTCTGGCCAGCTGTAGAAAGAAAAATGATCTGTGGAAAAAAAAAAAAAGAAAAAAAAAAAAGATAAAGAAAGAAGTAGGAGGAAAAAAAAAAAAGTACCGTCTATGTTCCCCAACAAGAAACTGCATGTTTATTCTATTTGCTCCCCATGGATTTAATCAATGCAGTGCTGATGGGTGGAGAGTGTTACTGAGAGCGGTGGGTCGTTTTTATTCCGCTTGCTTTGCCTGACCTGCTGAACGTTCTATCGATCCACCTCGTTGCCAGGAAAACCAGAAGTATGCTGACTCGAGCATCTGTCTCGTACGGGCAGAAAAAGATTTATGTTGTAGTCTAGCGTTTAAAAACCACTTTCCCCAAATGGCCGATGCCTCGAACAACCTCTCACGGGGATGAAAACCCCAAAACACAGCGCTGCCGAACACCCGTGCGGGGGAACGGTCCGGCCCAGCTCCGCGCCGCTGGGTGGCGCCCGGCACCCGGCCGAGCTCCGCGCCTCGCCCCCTCCCGCGGAG